ACAGCTGACTCCACTGTGATGTGACCCCCCCCTCTCTCTCAATCTCTCTCTCTCCATCTCTCTCTCTCTCTCTCGCGCTCTCTCTCGCTCTCGCGCTCGCTCTCTCTCTCTCTCGCACTCTCTCTCTCGCGCGCTCTCTCTCTCGCTCTCTCTCTCTCTCTCGCTCTCTCTCTCCCTCGTATGTAAATATCTTTTATGTGAAATATCTTATTCAGGTCAGTGCTAAATAAACAATAACATGCATTTTGTATGATCCCTCTTATTTTGGTAAAATAACATTTTGCAGATTCTCCAAGGTGTATGTACATTTTTGACTTCAAGTGCAGACAGACAAACAGACAGACAGACAGACAGACAGACAGATAGATAGATAGATAGATAGATAGATAGATTAAGTTGTTTGTAGATGCATCAATAAACATTAAGCTTACTGTACTCATATGTGCTCCTGTACTGAACAACTGTTACTAATATAAGCCTGTGGTCTACTGTGTGGTGCAGTTAATCTGACAATCTTAAGGAAACATGACCTTCACCGATAGAGGACAATATGTCATTGATTTTGACATTTATATCATCACTCTATATACTGTAGCAAAACAAAAAAAAGAACAGCTAAAAGACATGATTTGTTTTATAATTTTTAAATGGTTCAATTAGAACTTGAATACTCACCTACTAAGACTGTCACTACTTGGTTGTTGGCATACTGCTCGATCTCCCTCAGCCACTCAGGAAGGCACCGGAAGGAATCTTCACAGGTGATGTCGTAGGTGAGAATGAGAGCGTTGGCACTGCGGTAGTAACTCTGGGTAATTGAGCGGAACCGCTCCTGCCCGGCCGTGTCCCAGATCTGGAGCTGTGGGAATGAGCGGATCAAATAATCAGTGAAGTCACTTAGTACTTCTAGCAGAACCCAACACAAGCTACAGCTTTCTATCTATTTAATTAGCAGGAAGTGCACTGAAATGCGGAAAAATGCCTAGAGGTACACAGACTCAAATACAAGGGCTTAATCAGTGAGTCTAAACTGATGCTTGATACATTTCAAGGCCAAGATTAGTCACATTATATTTAAAAAAAAAAAAGAGATATACCAGGTGTTAATATAAAATATAAGTAGCATTTTTTATTGTCTGAAGAATGCTGTGACTGATATTCCAAACAGACTTATAATGCAATTGACATCAAGCACACAAAACAGGCGTACACTATAAAAAGTAAGTTTATCTGTATAGTGTATTTCCAACATGCCACTAGTTTCGGTTTCACTGTAAATTAAGTATTTTAGGTTTGGCACTTATAAAAAAAAATTGTTTTTAATGAATCCCACAATAATTTCTGCTTCATTCCTGTTCCATTCTGAAGACTTTTAAATTGAAAGGACTTTTTGTGGAGTGAGGGGAACTAAAACAAATTTACAGTGTTTATAATGTTTTGTTTTATTTACTAATATTTTTAAATTAATTCTGAATGTAATATTATAATGTGACTTATACAACGATGCGATCTTGAACCCCTGTGATTAGCCAGGTGCAACTTATACATATATTTAATATCTATTTAAAGCAAATTCTTACAGTATTTTTTAATTGATTACTTCATTTTATTTAGCCATGTTAGAGGAATCCTTCTTGTGTCACCACCAACAGCCAACAGATTATTATTATTATAAAAAGTAATAAAGTTATTATTATTTTCTTTTATTAGATAGTGAAGCGCCCTTGGGTTTGGGGCTATGAAAATAAATAAGACATAATAGTAACAACAATATTTCATTATTATTTATTTACATAGCCCTCTTCTGCAAACCAAAGGTCGCATCACAGGGTATGACAAAAAGAAATCAAGAGCATAACCAAAAGATTACATAGCATGCAAAACATAAGAAACATAAAAAAAGATGAACGAAATAACTTAATACAATATATAGACTGAAAACTAAAAATAAATAAATAAAATACTTTAAGTCACTCACTAGTCACTATCTATTTTTTTATTTGTATTTATTCATTCATGCATGCATAAGCAATAACCACTATATTCCAATAAAATTCCCATACAGTTACCTCAAAATTCTACAAGGCTTACCCACCTTCACTTTCACTCCTTTTATTTCCACTGTTTTGATCATGAAATCAACTCCAATGGTGGCACCTTGTCCGGGAGGGAAGAGCCCCTAGAAATGCAAGTTATTTGTTTAAATGCAACAATTATTATGAAATTAGGGACTGCAAACTGTGTAAAAACACTTACACATTGCAAACCTCTAGTGTTGTTTTGTTATAGCCAAGATAATGCTATGAGTTATTCCACACACCTGAGTGAAGCGTCGGACGAGGCAGGTTTTGCCCACTCCTGCATTTCCTATCAGCACAATTTTGAATAAGTAATCATAATCCTCCATGCTCATGCTCAGCTGAGGGAACATGAATGAAGAGAGAGAGAGAGAGAGAGACAGGCAGACAGAAAGACAGGCGGATAATATGTGGGTGTTAAGAACTGCAATGCAATCTACACATGGCTAAGCAGCATCCCTCTGATAAAACACAGTTTGAAGTAAAAGAGCCACAGCAGCCCTTACAGAACAAACATTTCAATGACACCAGTGATGTATTACTGAGAACAAACGAGGGAATGAACTATGCCTGATGCCTCTAGGGACCATTTTTTTGCTGTCCATTCTTTAATTTATTCGATCAACAGTGCCTCTGTATTTCACTACACACATTAGCAGTGTTTGTTTCTGAAGTGTTGCTATAGGAGAAGCTGCTATGCATGTGCTCAAACGCTGCTGTTGCCAAGGCCTATGGCAGGATGCTGAGAGGACCGCAATAAAGAAGACACAAGGAATAAAGAACAACTCCCAGAGGCCTGTCAACGCAAATGCATACACGCAAACATACTTTCAACAGCTAATTAAGAACTGTGGTGGATGTAAGCATAAGAAATTTTAAAGAAATACAATTGGAAATTCATATGTTGTTGAGCATAAACAGGCCCCCTTTAAAAATCATTTTAATTCAATAAAAAGTGAACTTAATTAGCTGCATGAATAAACATTCGAACATTACACAACTGTGTCATCTCCACTGCAAAAACTGATCTCACATTCATTTTGTATGAAATTTATATTTAAAAAATAATTAATAATACATTATTAATTGTATTATCATTACCATTATTATTATTGTTATGAACTAATACAACTGAAAACTGTAAGTTGAGCATAAACCTTTACAAATACATGTTTGATTAAAGAAATAACTTCATCACCACTGCAAAAAATACTTTATCTCACATTCATTTTGTAATTATTACAAAATTATGCGTTTGTAATCAGCCACAATTATATTTAATATTTTTGGACACGATTTATGGTATGTTTAGCAACAGCATAAACACAACTTTTTACTCTCATAGAATAAATAACAACCTTCTAAACTGTATTTCATTTTCATCCAGAAATCAACACGTTGCAAAAATGAAATGTAACTTCATTATTCCTTAAATCACATACATTATGACTGTAATTTGTACTTTACAGAACAAAATAAGGATATTAAATAACAGAACAGAAAAGATATACTTTATTGATCCCTACTGGGTACGTTATGGATAAAAAAAAACCTGACATGCAATATCTCTAAGCAGAAAACTGAAATCTGATATGCAATATCACTGAGCACGGCAAAAGACATAGATGTGGCCTAATACACTTCCTTTATATTTAGACCCTTTATAAATAGTGAAAATTGCACATTTTATTTTATGATGAAATAAAACCAGCAGGCACAATGTTCTCCATTAGCTAGCAGGATCGATGCTCTACACATTAAAGGTCACATTAAATCATCTTTACACTTACCAAACACTGGGGATTCACCCCACTGCTTCTATTATTCCGAATGCATTCAGTCTTTTCTTCAGGTTTTTAATCTAAACGATGATAGCAATCGTGCAGCGTCAACAGCAACCTCGGCAGATTTTCGGCTCCAGTGTTTCCTCGATTTTTTGACAATGACGTCATGCTGCTTCCCCAGTGGAAGCCGAGTCCGGAAAACATCGCAGCTGCATTCTGGGATTTGTAGTTCAACGTTCACCAGTGGCAACGGCATAACAGAAAAGCAGGACAAAAATAAATAGATAAAAATAAGTCATAATAAGTTAAATATCAGAGTCAGAGTTTAAATATCTCTGTTTGTAATTCAAAATATAGTTACAAATTACCAAAAATATATATTTGCTAAAATAATTATTTGCTAGTATAGGTATAAATAAATACGGAGCCCCTAAAGGGACAAGGTGGTCGGAAAAAAATTCGGGGTGGGAGGAAAATTTTTTTTGCGTTCTCTCGCAAAACTTTTGCGTTCCCTCGAGAAACTTTGCGTTCCCTCGCAAAACTTTTGCGTTCTCTCTAAAAGATATTTTGCGTTCCCTCGCAAAACTTTTGCGTTCTCTCTAAAAGATATTTTGCGTTCCCTCGCAAAACTTTTGCGTTCTCTCTAAAAGATATTTTGCGTTCCCTCGCAAAACTTTTGCGTTCTCTC